TCGACAATTAGACTTTAAAATGCTAAAATACTCAAATTCGGTGTAAATATATTTGCGATTTAAAACAACTCTTGTAAATAACAATACATTTTTTAAAAACAATATTGTTTCACCTTATTATTTTCCATAAAGGCCAATGGCCTTCATAAAATTCAAAATTCTGCTGGGACCAACGACGGAAAAAATGTCTTGCAATTTCTTGCATTTATAATATTTCCTTCGGATCTCTTCAAAGTCTAGACAAATCCCATGGAGAGTAGTTACACAACAAAAACATATTTCGAGTGTTGCAGTTCTTTTTACCTACTTTAGTACAGTGTCCCCTAGTGTCTTTCCATCTTAGAATAGGGCGTCACTTTGATAGACATGTCACTGGGGCAACAAAAAAAAGAAAGAAAAGGGAGTGATAATCATTCTAACAAAAACGTTGCTCTTGCTGCCAGAGGTTATCATCAACTGTGAAATACCAAAGCCAGTGTAGTTCAGCATACTTCTCCATGTACATATTGTTGTTGTAGTCGTCGTCGTTGTCGTCATCGTTGTTGTCGTCGTTGTTGTTGTTGTTTGTTGTTGTTGTTTGTTGTTGTTGATTATTATTATTGTAGTTGTTAGCCTGGAGAATGAGAGTTCCCAGCCTATTAACACAATTTAGATCCTTTAGGAGGCGGCTTTCGACCATGTCTGCCAGGATCAAATGGGGTTTCGAAGGACGCAACGCCCCAGCAGATAGACAAAAATTCTCCCCATACTGGAGCCGAATTCAGATCTTCTGCGTGGGACGACAACGCGCCTAACTGCTACAGAACAGACACTGGTCATCACTCATTGATTTTTTCCATACTCGACAAAAAGAAATCATCATTTTTGTTCTTTCTCCCTTTTTCTGATAAATACAGTAAAGTTTCGACTGTATGCCAATCTTCCTACGCCCCCTTCCCTCCTTTTTCAGCCACCATAAACAATTTTTGAAAGCTGATGCAAACGAAAGAACAACGTGTATGGTTTCCTCAAGCGCAGTCCTTTATTTAAGATTGAAGTCCTCTGTTCAGTCTCTGTTCACGAACAAAGCACTCTCTCCATACATCCCTGCCTGGTTGTCTTCATCCGTTTTAGTCCTTTTCTCTGCGATTAGCCCACCTTCTGATACAGTGACCCATCTGAGAGTTGCTGAGATGTCAAATTTCAAAAATGTCTGGGCACGGCCCCTGAGGCTTTCTAATCCGATGCATTGGGTTCAATTTTTTCTTCGTCATTGTCTACATTTCAAGCATTTTCTGTCGATATTTAAGTAATCACACTTTTTAACCTTTCATATTTACAGAACACGGTTGGTTGTAGCGTCGAATATAAGGACCAGATCATCAGATTCGATTTTGTCTTGTTGAAGACGTGTTCGAAAACCTCTTTGCTCAATTCATCTTCATGCTCTTCGTTTTGGAGCCTCAATTTTAGAGGTTGTGCAAATTCACCTATCGGACGAGCATTGAAAACTCAGAATACTAGCGTTGCACACACGAAAAGCTACAAACAAAAGCACTTGCATCAGGCTTTTTCACGATACAATTTATACTTTGCGAACTCAGAGCTTTGTTGCAAGATGGAGGCCCTAGCCTGTTTAAATATTTTAATTCAATTTCAAAACCCTAATTTAATTATCGAAGACATATAGGCTTTCAGATTGCTCGAAAGAGGTAGTGCTATACAAGGGGATAAAAAAACAACAACAACCAAAAACAACTGTACAACTTGTTTGGCAAATATCTTGCTCTATACCTAAGTTTAGCGTTTTAGATTTAAATATAACATTTGGAAGCCAAAAGGAACTTGTCTTGTATGCATTTTAAATAAGTCCATTGAATGGTTATGCTCTATATGGCGCATTAAAAAAGCATCTCATTTCCAGCCTTGTCGCCATTTTCATAGCATGACGCACCAGTTCGCATTAGGCCTACCACTAAAAGTTGCAACAGTCGCGCCATATTGCAAGCTACAGCAGTCTTACAAGTCCACAGAAGTCTGCAGATATTATTTTTCACAAATTTCATTTGCCTGCTGAGATCATGGTTACGTTTAATAAAGAACAGAGAGCTTTTCGTATTGAACATTTCTTCTCCACAAACTCCCCATCTCTGACATTTCGTAAGTTCTGTGCACGGAATGGAGAGAATGCTTAGGTGCCCTTTAGACCTTTGGCATTATTATGAGTAGAGAAGTTCCGTCAGTTTGGATCTATAGCAAATCAGAACTAAAACTGCCCTTTAAAAATGACCACTTCCGGTTGAACACACACCATGCACAGCCCTTTAAACGTCACCAGGGTACAGATTTCAGTAGTCGAGTCCGATGAGACGTCTGTCAGTAGACGATCTGCAGCTACGACTTTCCTACACCTCTTTGCGTTTTGGGGAGTTTTTTTGCTTTAAACCGTTTCGGTTTTCAAAAGAAGTTTCTTCTTCGTGGATTTTATGGCAAACAAATTCCTTATTAATGAATTATGTCTGTCCCAAATTACAGCATTCTCGAACAATTTTTGCGCGAGATATTCAGAACATGGTTTTTAAAAAAAAATCACCCTGTAGTTTAAATCTCTTCACTGTTCCAGGGCATTCCAATGAATTCAGCTGTTAGCTAGATGACCTTCTGCGGACTGCCTGATACTGCTCAAGAAAATTCATGCCACAACTGTGTATAGAAATACTTGTGTTTATCAGTGCAGCAGTTTTGATTTTAACATTATATATAAAAACTTTCCCGTCATACAATGTTGTTGAACACAAAGCATGCTTACTTCAAATACCGCAAATTGCTCCCTACCGCGGCAATGCATCACATACAGACTAGATGTGAAGAGCAAGAATTAATGTATTTTGTTCAGGAAACATCCATGAAAATTCTCGAGTCATCTTTTTTGTTTTCACGTATCGTTTACTACAATGCAAGCTTCATGTAATACAAGCTGGCCTATAACATACTACTATTCAGAAATAGCAACATTTTAAGAATCATACTGTGAGGTAGGGCTGGACAATGAGTCGCTTTAGCAAAATCCGGATAATATGAGTGAACCTCTTCGGTAAATAATATGTCATGAACCGATTCGGCAAATGCGTTAGAACCACTTTGACTGATGGGTTAGCACAACTTCAACAAATGAATGCACCCACTTCGGCAAACGGGTCAGGAAAAAAGGTTCAGAGACTGAATTCGGATAATGTCTTATTGAGGATTATCCGATTATCCAGATATTTATTCGGATTTTGCCCACCTCTACTGTGAGACTTGCACTTACCAAAAAAAGTAAACACATTATCCCCATGTTAAGAACTGCTTTGGCTCCCAGTGCCAGTTTGAACATTGCACAAAATGTCAAAAGTATGCCATAATTGTGTCGATAACAAAACTCACTCATATCTTAATGATCTCATCCACATTTATGCTACATCTAAATCACTGAGATCAGGTGATCAGTATCTTTTAACAGTTCCCAGGAAAAGATGTAAAAATCAGCTAAAAGATCATTTGCCCACCTTTCTCCATCAGTTTGGAAATCCCTTCCCCAAAGCCCTGAGACACCCACATCTGAGTCTAAATCTAATACATCTTAAACATTCAAAGACATTACTATTAATGAAACCATTTTAACTCAGTAGCTTTATTTTCTGCACAATAATATTTGTAAGTATTATGTGTCAATTTATGCTTTTTTTTGTTCACCTAAGGATCGCGTTGTGTATGATATTACACTCTATATTTGTATGTACTCATTCAGAATAATGTATATGCGTGCGTGTGTGTGTTTAATATAT